ACGCTCTTAAAACGTGTTGATGAGGTCTTTTAGATCTGGTTTGGAGTGAACTTAAGACACACGTGCATGTTGAATGTCCCGGTTAATCTGCCCGTTAAGCCTTAGTGCAAATGCAACACCGTATTTTTGTCTTGTAGCATCCAGCCCCACCTCAGAGCTTCTGTTCCAGCTGCTTTCCTAACATCCACTATGCTGGCAACACCACACCAGAAACAAAAGTTCCTAGTTATGTGGGGTCAGGTAAGCAGACATTTTTACAATATTGTGCAGTTATGCAAAGTTATTAAAACTGGAATTTGTATTTGATGGTACGTTGGACAACCTTGCAAAACCACACAATATTGGTAAAATCCAAACCAAGAAGCCCCACTTGCCTGACCCCCCATCCCCTCCCTCTCTCCTCTGTGATAAATCAATGTGAGCACACTTGGCACACTGAAGGAATTGATCTGGAGCTTGGGCAGACTTCTTCTAATGGCTTCATGTTGCCCTTGTGGACCACTGGGGAGGGGAGGAGAAGAAAGACCCTTCTCACAAAGCTTTTACTTGCCTGAACAGGCCAGTTGAAGCCAAGGTTTTTTGTGCAAGGAGAAGTTGTGTAAGGAAGCTGAGAGCAGGCAGCTCGTCCTGGAAATCATAAATTTGAATGAGCCTGACAACACCAGCTGCAGGATTCCAGTTCAATTTTGTGATGTACAGGCAAGAAGGTGCTACATAGAAACATTAATTGCTTCTGGCATTGAGCTCCAAAATGTGTTTGCCTACCTATCAGAGCAGTTTTGTGTAGTGCCCATTGGTTCACCTAAAGCTAACTGGGGTGAATGGGTGCTCAGGTATTCCCAGGCAGATCTGTTCCCCAGCTTCCAAACTTGCTGAAAGGAGAAGAGGACACTGAGAGGCAGGCAGGTGGATCACCCTGCTTACAGTGCAAAGCTGCTGTGGTTTTTTTAAGAACTCTTTGCAAAAAGAGGTAAAGATGTTGCAGCCCACAAGAAAAGTGTGGCCTTGGAAATGAGCATTTAACATGTGTAAGCCTGTGTCCTGGAGAACAGCTGTGGTTGGGGGGGAGTGCAGAGAGCAGAGTCTGCTGCAAGCTGCAAAGAAAAGAAGGTGTAGAAGCCTGGGAAAGGATTCCAGTGGTTCTAGCAGTTCAGAGCAGGAAAAAACCCCCACATCTAACCTCTTAGAAATGGTTCCTGTAGATGTGCAGATGGGGAAAAACAGTCATTTACCAACTCAGAAGAGCACACGGGTTTGTACACCTCCACAGACACACTTCTAGGTATGGCCCATGGAAGGTGGCACCGGAAGTTTGTCAGTGTTTGCTTAGGAAATCAGTCAAAAAATGCAATGCTAGCCTTGTTTCATAACACAGCTGTTACCCTGATAGCAGCATTAACTGTGTGACTTACCAGTGGTATTTTTATTTCAGAGCACAAAGTGATCATTGTTGGTCTGGATAATGCAGGAAAAACAACCATTCTTTATCAATTGTAAGTATGAGCCACAGGTGGCATGTCATGTGTTTCGAGGTGTGCACTGTAGATAATACTCTGACTTGCTGCTGCTGCTTTCCACGTTAGTTTTTACTTGGAGGGCATTACCCTGCAGCTGGCTGGACAGTAGAGGTGGCAGTGGGGTCAGAGTGTGTGCTGAGAGCCTGGGAAGGGTTGTGTTTTGCCTGGTGGATGAATAAGGTTTTGTTCAGAGCTTTTATGTATCAGATGATGTTGCTATTACCACTTAATCACAACTGCCTTCGGTGTAGCCCTGTGGGCTGTTTGTCAGCACCATCAGAGATGGTGATGTTGAGGTTTTAGCCACAGGACCACGCTGCTGAACTGATCTGTGCTGCAGCTTGTAAATACCAAGCCAGCTGTTCTGTCAGGAGCAGAGCAGTGAAGCCTGAGCACTCCCTGCCACAACTTGTGTCCTGGGAACCACAAGGTAGTTCCAGGCTGTTTGTGGGGCAGGATGGAGGAGGGAGGCTTGAGCACTGGCTGGACCCAGGACAGCACAACCGGCCTGGCCTGGGCTTTGTTTGGGCCACCAGGGCCACCAGCCTTGGTAGGTGTCCTACAGCTTCTGCCTTCTGTTTGTCTGGCATGAACCTTGCTGCTGGTTTACATGAAACTTTTATGAGCCTCGTATCTCTGGTCCACTGCTGCATTTGTGATAAAAGGGTACACGTTTGTCTGCAGGCTCAGGAGCTCCTAGGTGGAACAGGCAACTCAAGGTCTTTTTGTAACAGAAACAGATTTGTGATTTCTCTCTTCCTGAGCCAGTGTCAGAAAGAATTCCTGCAAAGTGGTACAGCCATGCTGGCCCAATCCTACACTTCAAATTTGCTTTCTTAAAACGTTTGGGTTTTGCCAAATTATGATCTGTCTTTGCCGTTCTGAAACATGAAACTCGTGTAGCCTTCCCAGCTGCTCATGTCCTAGCATGCTCTGCAGAGAAAGTGGAAAGATGAAGGTGGTTGTTATTTACATCAGGACTGGGAGATTTTAAAAAGCATAAACAGAATGAAGAATAAGACTAGGCCCTGCTGCAGCTGAGGGCTGTCCTCAGTGCATTTTAATGCTGTGTGTGTCTCTCCACTTCCTCTAGAAAGGTCTCATGAGTCTCCTTCTCATCATCTCATTTCTGCAGTCTCAGTGTTTTCTTTTCCCTTTTGTGCAGTGGATCTTTTTGTGCCTCCTTGGACCCGTTTTAGCTCCCAGCACTTCCCCTCCTCTCCTATTCCCCTCCTGCTTTGGCAGAGCTCTCTGAGTCCTGTCCTCTCTTCCTCCTGCCTGACTCCTCCTGAAGCCCTACCTCCATCTGTGCATATCCCATTTTTTTTCCCCTCTTACTGCTTCTTCACAGCAGAGAAGTGTTCTGAGCATGAATTAATACAATTAACTCTTTTCATACGAGCTGGGCAGAGATAACTAGCAGGACGACTAGTGTTGGTTAGTGCCTTGGCTGTTCCTTTGAGGTCATGGAGTGTCACAGCAGATGTTGGAGTGGTGCTTCATCTAACAGATTGTGGGGCCTCCACAGATACTTCATTTCATCCCATTCCCCTCCCTCCCTGCAAGTAGCAGTAGGATTTTGTGCTCAGGTGTCTAGAAATGCCATTAAGCTTCATGCTCACCTTGTTCCAGAGGGAAACATCCACCTATGGTATTTCCAAACTGCCAGATGCCAACAGCTTGAATGTGAAAAGCTGCAGGTTCAGCCAAGGAGAGGAGATTCATGATACATCTCTTCCAGGCATTGAAAGGACTCTACAGAGCACCAGACCATCCCTTTATCTCCTCAGTTCTCTGTCTGACTGTTAAAAGTCTTAAATTAATGTTGCTGTAGCTAAAAGCTCTGCTAAAGCTTCAAAAATGTAAGATGGATAGAAAAATAAAGTCAAAATTACCAGAAGAAAAAAGTAAGTTTTTTGGAAATGGCTGATGTTTTCCTTGAAGCTACTTTTAATTTTTTTGTATGTCTGAAACAGTAAAGTTTAAATAATTTGAGCTTCAGGAGTATCCAGAGTGGACATTTGTTTCCAAAAAGTCGTTTATTGGACTATGCTGAAGGGAGAGAGAAGGAAGTTTGGATGTAAAGCAACTGAACTGTGAGGAAAGGACATTCTTAGGAGCCTGTACTGGAAGCAGAGTGAGATGTAGTATGTTTGGTGGAGCTGGATGATGAGTACTTGTTTTTCTGCAGCCTTGGAAATCTTGTGGCTTAACCACCTTCTTGAAGCAAAACAACTGCTCTGTCCCATGCGTGCCAAAATCGGCCTGGAAAAAGGGAAGCTGACTGCTTCAAGCAGCTTCTGAAGCAGATATTCTCTCAGCTTTCTGATTTAATTAACTATAATATCATTTTATTTGTGAATGCTCTCTCAGCTTTACAATTTGATTATCCTACAGTCCATGGAGTCTTTTTTTATTGCTGCTTTTATTATTTTAATTGTCCCCCCCCCGCCCCCGTCGAGCCTTGTCTCTTTTTGCCGCGCAAGGAATTCTCCCCCTGAAATTCTACCTTGGAGCGCCTGCCAGGTTCAGTGTTGATGGAAGTAGGTCAGCTTGGAGCCCTAAAGATTCTCTGTAGTGCAGGGAACTGGGCTAGTTTCTGCAGCATCTCACTGGGTGGCTCCCTTCCCTCTGCAGCTCCATGAACGAAGTGGTGCACACGTCGCCCACCATCGGGAGCAACGTGGAGGAGATCGTGGTGAACAACACCCGCTTCCTGATGTGGGATATCGGGGGGCAGGAGTCCCTTCGCTCCTCCTGGAACACCTACTATACAAACACTGAGGTGAGGGTGGATCCTTGGCTGGAGAGCTTGGGGGAACCATTGCTGGAGGAGGGAATCCAGCCACCTGACATCTATACCTGACATGCTTCTGGAGGGCTGGCTTAACTGGGCGTGGAATGGTACCCTAGCTTCTTTAGGGCATTCCTATTTCAATGTTTGAAGTCTCCCACTTAGCAAGCTGTTGTATGGCTTGCCTTGATGTTTCTTCTGTAAGATGCAGAATGTGGAGTTGCAGCTCAAAACGAGTTGTCTGTGAGGGTGCTGGATCTGCAGCCCTAGGGCAGGTACTCAGTGATGCTGGGATCCCTGTGCTTTCAGGTCCCTTCTTATGGACTGTGGCTGCCCTATCTCTGCAGCAGGTGCTCTAAGGCCTGTGTAACCCAGCAGGAGTAAGACTGAAAGCCCAAAAGTTTTCCTCCAAGACTGGGAGAACTCTTGCTAGCTCCCATCATCAGTTTCCTGAAGGACACCCAAGACTTTTAAGAACTCTGTAGTCCTGAAGTTACAGCACATATACTGAATCTGATTAAAGTAGTTGTTTCAGTCTAGGTTTCCTGTGTCATACCAATTGTGGTTTCTTAAAATAAGCTGCTTTTTTATAATAATTAACTTTGTTCCCCTGTGCTTTCCTTTAAAATACTGTGATGTGTATCTGCATGTATACTCTTGAAGTATGGAGCTTACTGGGGTTCTTTTAAATCCCTTACAAATACCTATTTGTATCTTAGTGTTTGAAGTAGAGGGGGAAAGCTGATACAGGGTACCTTTGTAAGGCTGCAACAAATTATTGGAGGGATCTGTGTGCTGCCTCAGTTACGCTGAGCAAAGAGCAAAACCAGATCTGGGACTACAGGGAAACACTTGCTTTCAATATAATTTTTTCACTTGGAAAAGGCAAGTTAGAAGATGTGCCAGGGGCACTTCCAAACCACAGCATAAGTTATAAATTATACCAGTGCTGTGGGTAATCACACTGGCCCCCATAGGAGAAGTGCATCTGGAATAGAGTGATATCAGTCTGGATAATCTGATGGGAACAGTAATCTGTCCTGCTGTCCAGTGTGTGACCAGGAAGATAAGAGTTTGTTCTCTGACTAACAACTTTTCACTTTTCATTTAAAGTTTGTGATAGTTGTTGTGGACAGCACAGACAGAGAGCGAATTTCTGTGACTAAAGAAGAACTCTATAAAATGTTAGCACATGAGGTGAGTAGACCCTGTGTTTTCTTTGTTTGGGTATTTCTTGTGGGTAAGATCTGGATGGATATGAAGGAGAGCAGATTCCCCTGCTGCTGGAGACAGCCCAGGATGGAGAGAGACCTCTCCAGGGAAGCCCAAGGCAAACAGGAGCAGTGATTTTCTCCCAGCTGCAGGCTGTGCTGTATCAGAGCTGTCTTGTTCCTGTTAGAGCTTCTGTCTTTTCTGAAACTCACGATAAAGCAGTAAATTAATACCAAATTACCAAAGAGAACTCCCACAAAAGTAGCTTTTCAACTTCTGAGTGCTTCAGTGATACAGAAATTAGGACCTACAAATGACTTCTGTGGGTTTTGTGCTTCAATCCATGTTAGTAGCTGAATGAGATAGTTTTAAAAAACATTTTAAAAACGTTGTTTCCTCCATTAACTTAATTACTATTTTTCATAGCTTCATGATGGCTTGATGTTTTCTCTTTTCACGGTGAACAGCTACAGCCTTAATAGTATGTCTTACAGCAATCAGCTATAAAGCTGAAGGAGTGAACTGCCCATGGCTGTAGGAGCCATCGTTCTATTTGCACTTGGAATTACAGAATGATGAGAGTATAATTAGCTAACTTGTAAAGACCCTCTTTAGAACTGAGCCTTGTTACAGGCCCAAAACTGAGCTTGCTGGGTCTTGGTTCAGCCTGGAGAAGAGAAGGCTCCAGGGAGACCTTAGAGCACCTTCCAGTGCCTGAAGGGGCTCCAGGAAAGCTGGGGAGGGACTTGGGACAGTGGCAGGGAGTGAGAGGACAAGGTGTGATGGATTAGAACCGGAAGAGGGAAGATTGAAGTTGGACATTAGGAGGAAATTCTTTAGTTTGAGGGTGGTGAGATCCTGGCCCATGTAACCCAGGGAAGCTGTGGCTGCCCCATTCCTGGAGGTGTTCAAGGGCAGGTTGGATGGGGCTTGGAGCAACCTGGAATGGTGGGAGGCATGGTGCCCGTGCAGGGGGTTGGAGCTAGTTGGTCTTTAAGGTCCCTTCCAACCCAAACCATTCTGTGGATACTGGCCTGCTGTGTAAGCACCTCTTGCATGACCCTAAAGTCGTGAAGACTTTAATGAACCCCTGGAATGCAGTGGGTTGGGAGTCCTGGTTTTTACTAAAGATGTGTTTAAATAAGCTTGGGACTCATGAGATTAATACAGACATTGTATGAGATGGCACTAAGCTTCCAACTTGAAGTGTCAGAATACAAAATGTGCATACAATTGATAGCATTATATCCCAAAATATTCCATCTATATTTAAACTATAGCCACTGTTTAGTAGCTGGCTGCAGAAAGAGCAGAGACTGGCTGTGGATTTCCTTTGAGGGATCATGGTAATCCAAAGCATTGGAGAAAAAACAAGTGCTTTACCTGGTGTCTTGGGTTTCTGATTTTTGGTAGTGAAATTGATGGTGTTTAATGAAATAAATTCTGTGAAGTTAGGTCTGACTTTTTGGTTGTGGTAAGAGTGGCACGGGGGCGTGGTTGGATTTCAGAGTGGTGCTCTCCAGTCTGTTGCAGTGGCCACACAACCTCTGCCTCTGCTGTTTCACCATCTCTAAGGAAGATGTAGAAGTTGCTAACCAGCTGAATTTGAAAAGAAGGAAGTCTGGAGTTCCAAGCAGCTTGAATGCCCTTGCTTCATGTGGGGGGACTATTTCTGTGCTCTGAAAGCACCCATCTAACAGTAAATGTGCCCATTGTTTTACAGCAGGAAGTTCTGAGTATGTTCTTCTGACTCTCCAGATGCCATGACGTTTGAGGAGAGCAATAATACATGTAGGCTGACATGAGTGTCAGATATTTATTTAGAATAGCTTTTCCTCCCAGTCCTTGAAAATCTTTTATTTTTGATAAACAGAATCATAGAATCCTAGGGGTTGGAAGGGACCTCAAAAGATCACCCAGTCCAACCCCCCTGCCAGAGCAGGGTCATCCAGAGCACATCACACAGGAACGTGTCCAGGCAGGTTTTGAATGTCTCCAGAGTAGGAGACTCCACAGCCTCTCTGGGCAGCCTGTCCCAGAGCTCTGTCACTCTCACAGGAAATAAGTTTTTTCTGATATTCACATTGAACCTCCTATGCTCCAATTTACACCCATTACCCCTTGTCCTATCACTGGTCATCACTGAGAAAAGCCTAACTCCATCTCCCTGACACTCACCCCTTACATATTTGTAAACATTGATGAGGTCACCTCTCAGTCTCCTTTTCTCCAAGCTAAAGAGACCCAGCTCCCTCAGCCTTTCCTCAGCAGGGAGATGTTCCACTCCCTTCATCATCTTTGTGGCTCTGCTCTGGACTCTTTCAAGCAGTTCCCTGTCCAATTTAATGTCTGTTCAATTTAATGTCTGTTAAGGCAAAATTGAGCTGCCCAAATCAGTTGCATCTATTTTCTGGACCAGATCATTTGGGAATTGATTTTACTGCTTGTAAAAATTAGTATGCCTGATAGGCATTTAAGTGAATGAGTTGTCTTGGCTTCCTGGGAAGACCTTTTTACTTTCAGAGGAACAGATTTTCAATAATATGTGCCCATACTAGTGTAATTCCAAGCAGCTTGAGATAAAATAAGCTTGCCCCTAGAGTCACTGTTCTCAAAATGGTGAATTCTGATGATTTAAATATTGCATGAGCCTTGCAAAGCAGTGTGTGTGATGTGCTTGTTACTGCAGAGGGCCATCCCTTGCTTCTAAAGCAGCACAAGTGATTATTTTCTACAAATTCTGTGTATCCTCTAAATAAAACATCACTGCAGCTTGTTTTATGCTGTCAGCAGCAGTCTTTCTGCTTCCTAATGGCTGGAATTTCCCTGGCAGGGGCTGCTGGCAGGCAAAACTGCCTCTGATGCCCAGTTGGGTGCCAGCATCCTGCACCAGGCTGGGCAGGGTTTTACCAGGGCTTCAGAAGTTCTGCTGGGGTGACCCACTCTTGCCCCACCTAAGAACTGCTTCACAGTCTGCTGATGGGGTACTGAAATCAAGTCTTTAACAGCATGGCAGTGCATCAGAGTGGTGTGTGTGGAGCAGAGCTGGGCTCAGGAGAATGCAGGAAAGGTTTGGGTGCAGAGGCAGGGGTGAGCTGAGGAGCTCAGGGTGAAACGGGAGCCCCCAGGTGTTAGAGGTGTGTGAGGTCAGTGCAGCTGCACAGGCACAGCCTGCCCTGATCCTCAGAGAGCACAGCAAAACCTGGTGCCTGGTTCTGCAGATCAGCCCAGGAAAAACTCGACCTTGGGCCTGCTGGATCAAAGGATTTTGTGAAGTTGCACGTCAGTCACCCTGCAGGAGTTTATAGCTGGAGTGTTGGGTTTTGTGGGTTTTTTGCTAGGGCCTCAAGTTCTCTACTGCTTCCAAGGGCTGATTTGTAATAATCTTTTTTTTTCTTCTTTCTCCCTAGGACTTAAAAAAAGCAGGTTTGCTGATATTTGCTAACAAGCAAGATGTTAAAGAGTGCATGACTGTAGCTGAAATATCTCAGTTTCTGAAACTGACTTCAATTAAGGATCACCAGTGGCACATCCAGGCCTGCTGTGCCCTCACTGGAGAGGGGTAAGAGCAATTCTTGTCTGCAGGAGGAGAATCTTAAATTATTTTGGGATTTTTTTAATTGTAGTGTTTCGTTTTAGTGCACATTCCTCCCCTGTTGATCATAATCTGACTCTTTAAGACTTGGGAGCTCAGAACATACTGGCTGAGGATCAGTGTGACCCAAAAACCAGTGTTCACATCAAATCTGCGATCTCCCTCACAGTGATAAAACTTTGTATGTCTTGGGCTGAAGGAGGGCAAGGGTGGGAATGACCTAAAACATCTTCTGGTTTATTAACAATAATCATAATCACCTGGTCTAGTGGGAGGTGTCCCTGCCCATGGCAGGGAGTTGGATCTAGATGGTATTTAAGGCTTTTTCCAGCTCAAACCATTCAACTATTCTGTGATAATTAGAGAATACTTCAGTGTATGCCTGGAAGTGCTGGGGTCTGAGGTCTCTCACCTATAGGTTGCATGGTAAGATCCAGGGAATACTGCACTTGGAGTGAATTGTTTCTGGAAATGATTCCTTCACTCAGAATCACAAGAGCTCTTGGGAAGAATTTCAGTCAGTGCCATGGATTTAGCTTTGACTTTTAAGTTATCCTGAGAGTTGCATGTTCCTTAAAAAGGGTCTCTCTTTGTTACAGGCTGTGCCAAGGACTCGAGTGGATGATGTCAAGACTTAAGATCAGATGATTTTTAATGACCTCTTTGCACAGACATTGCTTGAGAAGAGCTGTACCCACAATGACCTTCACAGTGGCAGAATTGATGGGTTGGGTGTATTTATACAGAACTGATTTCAACTTTTATTTTCTACATAGATGCACACACACATACCTGTATATAAATTAAGACTGTTCAGCAAAAAGAAAGATGCAGCTGAGGCTCCAGTTTGGTTTCCTGTTTGTTTTCCTCCGAGGATGCATGTGAAAGCTGTGATCAATTTTCGTTTCAAGATACAGCCACTCAGAACAGTCCAATGTTGAGCGTGGTGAAGATGAAGTGAGAGGAAGGAGCTTTTAATTTTGAGTTTTATTATTCCATGGTAGTCCTCTCTAGTTGAAGATGTTGGCTTCATTATTCCAGTAAATTAGCAAACAAATGGATGGCATAGATACCAACTTTCCAGTATTTTTAAGGTTACCGGTGTTACCAATGCAAAAATATTTTCCTGTATGTGTACTGTACATATTTATGTATATTTATACCTCAATTTTAGGTTAATTGCAATCTGTTCAGACCAGTGTGTCAAGCTGAATCAGTATCTTGACAGCAGTACTAATACCTGACATGGCCAACATGTCACGACTTCTTTTCCTCTGTCATCTGTATGGCTGTGGGGCCCACCAGACAGGTGGCTCACCACGACTTGATAAAGCAGACTCTCTCTTCAGACCACGGCTTGTTTCTCAGATGATTTTTCAGCTAGGGAGGATGCCAGGAGGGATGGGGGCATGGGAGTTGGGCTGCACCTGACAGCCCGGGCAAACATTTGCCAGAGAGTTTAAACTGAAACGGTTTCTCTTCTTGGATTGTTGTGGCCGCTGGGTGAGGTGGTTCTCAAAGGTGCATGTCATGCTATCCTGTGGAGCTGCTTTTCTTTCTTTGCAGTGCTGTTCATGTGTGAATCCAGTCCAGTAGAAGTACCTTTTGCTGTCAGAAAGGGAAAAATGTCATTTTTATTCTTTTTTTTCCTTAACCAAAGAGGAGGCACAAAAGTATTTTTCAAAGTCCCACCAGTATCTGACAAAGCAAGTCATACTGTGTGTTAAGTGTATTCTCAGAGGAAAGCTCTCTTCTCTTTGATAGCATAAATGCCTGTCTACAGTGGATGGAGCTGGGGTGGGGAAGGGCAGCAAGCCAGATGGACCCTACTTGAGGAGCTGGGAGTGACCCCTCGATCCTGTTCCTCAGCAGCTCCAGGGCAGCGCTTCTTGAAAACATAACTCCCTTGCCCAGGCCCCAGGTGAGTTATGAAGATGTGCCAGAACACTACATGATTATCTCTTTGTATTGTAGGACCTGGTGGGGTGGATGTGCTGTGGGAAAGGTGTTCAGATTTGCCATTTTAAAGGATACAGGCTCTTCCTTGGGATGACAGTTGGGTGGTTGGAAATATCATCAGTATTGTGGAAGTGTACAGAGCCTTAATCATGGGCTTGTATGTTGGAGATGTATGTTTGGGGACTACAGCAAAGTGAAATAAAACTGTTAAAAATATCCTTCCAAATATCCTTCCCTTTCTCAGCTCGTACATCTGGTAAGGATGGAAAAGGAATTTTAAAGAAAATGCTTAGTTTGAACTTTTACAAGGGCTTATCTTGGGTTGTGGGATAATTTCACCTGCTTCACTGGGAATCATGTTGTGAATTTGTGGGGAAGAGAAGCGAGGTGATTCCAAAAGCCTGTATTTAACAAAGGCAGGTAAAGAATGTAACTTTTTAATGTATTTTGATATCTCTTGAGGATGCTCACTGGGCAGGGAGTCTGCAGTCTGTTTAACATTCTAATGTGTACATGCATATATTTGCAGTGCATGCACATAGATACTGGTATTTAACTGGTGTATAGCAAAATGTATACATGTTTGAAGAAACAACAATATAATGCAAAGACTTTCTCAGTTTATCTGATAGTATCTTCAAGAAATGAGCTCTGTGCACACTTGCATATGACATGGGATTGTGCATTTTCCAGTCTTAAAAAAGAAAAAGCAGACTTGCTTAGAGACCTCATGTTTGGTTTTTGAGTCTTATGTCTTCCTCTCCCTCCTGAAATAATTGTTCTGTAGTATTGTTGGCTGCTTCTGCCTGGATCTGCACAGGTCACACGTGTTGGGATTTTGGTGGTTTTTAAGAAACCTGGTTGCTCCTGTTAAGGGAGGAAAACTCACAGAGCAGGATCCTGATCTTCTGCTCCTTGCTGAAATGTGGTGCTTACTCCTCTGCTTCAATGCCTGTGACTTGGTAGGCCCATAGAATGACAGTGTGGTGTTTGTTCCAGGTGTGGCTTGTGTGGCAACCAGACCCCTTACCTTTGCAGGGGAGCAAACTCGGGTTTGCTCTCTCTCCCTCTCGGTGTCCTGGCCACTTCCACCTTCCCTGGCCTCTGGGATCCTGCTGTGATTCACTTCACCTTTGTTCCCCAATGGCAACAGACCCTTGTGGGGAGCTGGGAGCATGCACACCTGAGGGCTGCCTGCTCCAACAATGACTTCTCTGCCCCAGACTGTTCAAAATCCAAAAATGAGTTCCTTGTCTGTGTGTTGGGCACTGAGCAATCAGCCTTAACCCAGCTACTAAACAAAGGTGTGTGTCAAATGTAACAGTGGGAGGTGTTTTCTATCTGTGTTGTGATTCTATCGTATTTCAGGGGGCAGGTGTGCTCTTCACAGCCACGGAGTGGTGGCCAGTGCCTCTGTGCACTGTGTGACTGCAGCCCCTTCCCTGAGGCTCAGGAACCAAAGGAAGACACTTGGAATGCTGGATTTTCTGTCTGTAAGGAATTTCTCTCCGGTAGCTGGGAAGTTCTTTGTCAGCCCCTTGCAAACAGAGGGGATTTTTAAAAGGTAGTCACCTAGTAGAGCTGGAGAGCTGGCAAACTTCAGAACACAAACCTACTTGCTGACAGCTTTTTGTCTTTCCCTTGCAGGACGATTCCCATTTTTCTCATATCTCTGTCCATTGAAAAGCAAATTAACTTTGTCTCGTTTCTGCTTTCAACTTCCCTCTCTTATTGTTTGGGAACAATTGTCTTTACATGAGTCATGACCCTGATTTGAACTGCTTTTGTGTTCTCACCCTCAGTGTTGCCTTGCCTTGGCTTTCAGCTGAAGCTTCAGATGCCTTTGCCTTTGTTCTTAAATGAAATTAATTCTTGGGACATCCTACAGAAAAAGGGAGGGGTCTTTAAAAATGGGTATTTAGGTTTATGCTGCAGGATGCCATTTAACTAGCAAAAAAACCCAACAGCTCTAAGTCCCCTTTCAGTAATACTTGAAGAGTCTCTTTTGGTTTGGCTGCTAATAGAGAGGGTATATCAGCTCTCCTCTGTGATCTGAAAATTAGGCTTTTCAGTGTGAGGCGAGGTGGGGTGCAGAACTAGGGAAAGGTGAGCAGGGATCCTCCCAAGCTTTGCTAGTTTTTCATATCTGTTTTTTTCCCCATAGTTCTGTTTTCAGGGAGGCTCAGTAGCTGGTTCCCTGTGCACTGTGATAGGACGTTACTAGGTGGGTGTGTCTACATGGGTGGGTGTTGAACATCTCCAGAGGGCACCTCCTACAGCCTGTGCAGCTCAAGTGCCTACAACTGAGTAATGTTTTTTTTCTCTTTGTTGCAATTCTCATTTCCTTAAAATAGATACATTTCTATAAAAACATCTAACTGTGTGTAAATGAGTGTTTTGTCCCCTCCTTACACACTGGTTTTAAAGTAGTTTAAGAAAAGTGTCTTTGCTACAATCCTTCCTACCCAAGTAGATGGAGTTTCTCTCCATTCCAGGCACTTTTCCATTTATCAGATGTCACCTGGCCAGCTTTGTGAGAGGGAATAGTGAATTTGTCCTTGTATCAGATGGATTAGCTGGAATTCTTTTCAAGGAACTCTGTTTCAGTAACACAATCCAGGAATCCTAGGCCTTGCAACCACCCTCGTGTAAGTAGTTCCTTTTTAATTGACTAGTAGAACATCAGTGTTGCTCCTGTCAGACTAATGATGTCTGAAAAATAGGGAGTTTTTTTGAGCTAACTGGAATGTAATATTGAGCCTCACTGAGCATTAGGGGACAAGAACGAGTTGGTGTCCCAAAGAACAGCACTATGGAAGAAAAAAGTCCTTGCCTGTAGCTGGGAGATGCATTATAAACACTACTGGGACTTGAGTGTCATTGTTGCAGTTTATTAAATATACAAAAAAGATAAATTATGAGGGGTTGCCACTGTAACTTTTTATAATGTGCTTTAGAATCATAAGCAGAAATTATACTCTTGCCTTACTAGGATTTTACTGGTTGATTTTTATATTGTACAGAGACTTTTTTGACAAGGGTCTTCACATCAGCCAGTGGCCTTCACACCTGACAGGATCATACCCACCTACCTCCTGTAGCCTTTTAAACCCCATTTCTTGTGAGCAAGGGCACAGGTTGGGTGGGGGTTTTTAGCTTTTCCTATTTGTGAATTTAGAAACCTTGGCTGATACTGAATTAGGTTAGAAATGCTGCTTTACCTTGAAGGCTCTAAGTCAGCCTGTGTAAATCCTCAGCTCCGTGTTACTCGTGTCTAAGTGCTTGTGCTGTGGAGGGTGGAAGAGGTGGCCAAGAAAAGGTGTGTTCTGTGGAGACATCCAAACAAAACTCTTCTGGCTGGAAAGCCTGAGCACTTTGGTGGCTAATTAATTAGTAGTGTGTGCTTGAGGAAGGGTAACCACTCCAGTGCCTGTCGTGTTTTCATGAATGTTTTCAACACGTTCTCAGCTTCCATTCTTTTCCAAAAGAACCCTACCAAGTACTGGACTGTCAATCCAACCTCCTACACTGAACTTGTCCTCTCAGAGTCAAAGGGAAGCTTCCCAGATGAGTGGTGTCCTCCCCTTGCAGTGCATTATCTGTCCCTCTCCTACAAATGCAAAGTCCACGTGCACAAACATCACTCATGCAGCCAGGGGTGTGTTTCTTTGGGTCACTTGTGTTTTGTCCTGCCCTTTCTCCAAACTTTCTCTTCTTTCTGAAAGAAATGCACAAAGTATGTGGTGAGTGGTGATACTGCCATAAAATTCCCTTCCAGAAATGCAGAATTATTGCTTCAAAGGGACACAGGGACGTGCCAGGGCTGCACTTCCTGGCGTGAGCACTTCTGTGTCTGGAATTTAAACATGTTTATTCAAGTAATTTAGCTACAACTTTTTGTAAAGCTGTTTATTGCAATAAAGTTCAGTCATGTTTCCATAAAGTAACTTTTCCTGAAATTTTATCAGAACATTCCTTGGATTGTTTCCCTCTTCTGTCTTTTAAAATTTGTTTTTTTGAAGGGAGAAGGGAACTCATCCAGCCCTTTTAATTCTTGTGAAACAAGAGGTGAAACACTGATTTGGTCTAGAGCTGGGGGGCTGTGTACAAGCATCTTCCATGCACATTGGCAGATAAGGTCAGAACTGCTAATTTTTGAAAAACCACCAGTATTTGTTATTCTCAGATGAAAGCACTTGTCAGAATTCTACTGTTTGCATTAAATCTTTCATGTGTGTGTTGTGGTGGAGCTGTTCAGGCTGAGGAATGATTTCTGACCCATCACATGGGGGTTTTGTAGGTATTATTGGGCTGA